GACACCAAGTCTGAGCTTTGGTCTTAGTTTAAAGATTAAGCTTACCCAGTGTTTGGTTGGCAACACTAAAGTATAAGGATAAATACAGTCTCCAGTATTGAACCTTTTTGAGGCTGATTGGCTGAAATGAAATAAAAACCAGAAGGAAACTAAGAAAGAGGCCTTTTTACAGTAACTTGCTGTGAGAGGACCTCTGCCTTAGCCTTCCCTCCTTTTCTGAACTCATTTCCCCATGTCCCTGCTTTCTTCCTGTGTCCAGTTTGCAACAGTCTTCCCCTCCTGTGCTGTCCCTCCACCCTCCCAAGCATGATGTCCTTCTCCAAGGTCTGGTCCCTCCTTGCAATATGTCCAAAATATGTCAGGCGAAGCTTCAGAATCCTTGCCTCTAAGGAGCAGCATAGTTTAATCCTCTCTAGGATGAGCCTGTTTGTTTTCTTAGCAGTCCATGGTATATTTAATACTCTTCTCCAGCACTATAGCTCAAAGGCATCAATTCTTCTTCTATCATCCCTAGTCATTGTCCAGCTCTCTGATGCATAGCAAGTGATTGCAAAGACCATGGACTGTAGAAGGAGCACCTTAGTCCACAGAGTGACATCATTGCTCTTCAGTACTTTGGAGAGGTATCTAACAGGGTATCTAACAGCAGACTTTCCCATTACAATATGTCTTTCGATTTCCTGGCTGCTGATGCCAAGAGTGTTGACAGTGAAGCCAAGCAAACTAAAGCTGTGAACAATCTCAATCTCTTCACCATCTATCAAGATGCTGCCAATTGGCCCAGAATGCTATCCAGGAAGAGTGCAAATGGTCATTAAAAGACAGAGGAAGAAAAGACCAAAATGGATGTCAGAGAGGCTCTGAATATTGCACTAGACACAGAGAAGCCAAAGCAGAGGGAAGAATTCAAGATACTAAAGAGCTGAACAGATGATTTAAAAATGCAGCATGGGAAAACAAAGTATTACAATGAAATGAGCAAGGAGCTGGAGTCAGAAATTCAAAAGGGCCAAACTCACTCAGCATTTCTTAAGCTCAATGAACTGAAGAACAAATTCAAGCCTCAAGTTGCAATACGTAAGGATGCTTTGGGCAGAATATTAAATGATCCACAAAGTATTAAAAGAAGATGGAAGGAGTTTACAGAGTAATTGTACTGAAAGGAATTGGCAGACACAGAAGAATTTCATGAAATAATATATAAGCAAGAGCCTGTGGTGATGAAGGAAGAAGTTCAAGCTGCTTTGAAAGAATGGGCAAAAAATAAAGCTCCAGGAATTGATGGTATACCAATTGACATATTTCAACTAACAGATGCTGCCCTAGATGTGCTCACCAAGTTGTGTCAAGAAAAAGAGATCTAGGGGAGTTCTGGTGGCCTAGTGGTAAGGAGCTGCAACTACAATCCCAGAGGCGCACGGTTCGAATCCACCAGATGCTCTGCCAGGGAAGGAGGGATAAGCTCCTCCTGTACCAGTCAGATCTGATTTGACGGTACACTCACACAAAAATAATAAAA